TCTGAAATTAGCATGTATTACTTTTGTTTACTTGATTATTTATTTATGCTTAAGGGGAATAATATATATTTATAGAATATAGAGAAAGCGAGAGAGAGAATATGAATTAGTGATTCTAGTAGACAACTCCAGATAGTCTCTAGCCTGTCTAACTTCCCCCTTCCCAAGTCTATCATCCTTCTCCACTTCTGATCAAGTGCTAAATAAAATCCATTTACTCTCCTCTCTAAACTTTCTGCTAGAGTAAACATTTTTTCTTTTGGAAATGTCACAACTCCTTGGACAAGTGCTAAAGGTATATTCTTTATTTCACTGTCTTTTTCAATTTCAGCTGCCAGAAAGCATTAACTCTATCAATTGCGAAAACCTCCAGTGGTGATTAAATTCATCCTGTTTTGTTTTGGTTTAGTTTTTCCCTTCTCAGTTCTATTCTGTCTTTCATTTCTGTTTAAATAATCTTAGCATCTGCCATTTCTAATAGGCTGCTCTTTTACCTGATATTCAAGGCCCTCATATACTAGTTCCAACTAACTTTCTCAACTGGTTCACCCACTTCACCGAAATTATTCCCTGAAGAACGTCACATTCTCTACTTTTGTGTCTTTGTTATTCTTACTGCTTATTCTGTTGTCTCCATTTTGCCACATTCTGCCTGCATTTAAGAACTCAAATTTATTGCCATAGAATCAGAACCAACTCATAGCTAATCCTCCATTTTGAGGTTTCTGAGACTGTAAAATCCATGGGAAGAGATTGTTTATCTCTCTCCTTCAAAACGGCTGCAAATTCAAACTGCCAGAGAGGGTTAGCCTTTGGGTTAGCAACACAACTCTCTTTGGACAATGCCTCAAATACCACTTCTTCCAGGACGTTCCCTTCTTTCAGTTCTAACTGAACTTTTGGCCCCTCTGAAATTACTGTGCACTTTCTGTCGTGTTAGTTATCTGGGCATATGTCAGTCTCTCTCACAAATGATAAGGTCTCTCAGGGCAATGACTATGGCAGACTCTTCTCTATTGTTTCTGGCACTCTTTTGTTATTGAGCCTACTTCGTACTAGACACTTAGTGTTGAATGGCTAGTTAGTTGTATGCATGATTGAAGAAAAGGGAACCCAAAATAATTAAATGAGTATGGGCATAGGTAAAGAATAGAAGGAAAGAGAAGATTAACGAATAATCATACAAGTGAATCAGTGTGAGCTCTGTAATCTATTAGGTTCACTGCTCTAACTCTAGGACCTAGAATAGAGCCTGATATACAGTAGAGGCTGATTCAGTGCATGAATGAGTAAATGAGCAAAGAAATATTTGAATAAATAAAAATAAATGCCTGGAGAATACACATTCTTGGCAGAAAGTGAAGCATCATAGGAGACAAAGTGATCTCTTTTATCCTTGTCCCCCATCTCTACCCCAGGCCATTTTTCCTTCCCAAGAGGAGATTTGGAAAAACAGATAAGGAGGTCTGGTCACCTCTAAGGTTCTTGATGAAGTCATCCAGTTTCATCTTGCGTTCAGCCTTGACGCTAGGACTGTACATGTCAGTATTGAGGAGAATGATGGCGAAAGCAAGGATGAAGATGGTGTCTGGGTTCCGGAACTGGCGCACCAGGGCTGGGTTACACACACAGTACCGCTGGCTGTAGGGCAGAGGGTCCAAGACAAAGCTCAGGGACCAGCAATCTTCACCTATGTATCATCCTCCCATTATGGTACTACTAGCCCTTCTCTTCAAGAAATACTACTAGTCCTTTGAGTCTATTTTCAGAGTTTTCCCAAAGATTAACACATTAAAAAAATTATCACATTCACTGTATTTTACAAAACTTTGCCAAGGGCTCTGTGTACTCAACTCTCTCTCAAATAACCTTTAAGTCAAGTGAGAACTGACTCATAATTGACCCTCCATTAAGTTTCCAAGGCTGAAAATTACACAGAAGGAGTGTGATTTTTATTCCTAGTAGCTGCTGGTGTATTCAAACTGTCAGAGACATACAGCCTTTGGGTTAGGAGCACAACCTCCTAGGAACTAGGCAGAATTCTGCAAGATAGTTATTAATAGCTCCATTTTACAGATGAAGTAACTGAGGCTCAAACTGCTGAAGTAACTTGCCCAAGCTAATAAAGCTGGTAAATGGTGAAGCCAGGATAAAAACACAGATCTTGACTGCAAAGCAAATCCTTCTCTGATTGCTGGGGAAAAACCTCATTAAATTTTCAGTTTCTTCTCTAAATACATTATCAAGTGGTGGAGGCCAGAATTTATACGCATTCATGATAAAGTATAATGCTTAAGTTATGCATGAAGTTGGACAGATTCAGAGTTCAAATCCCAATTCTACCACTTACACACTCTACAACTCTGGGCAAGTTAGTGAATCTGTCTAAACTTCAGATCCTTTATCTGCAAAATGAGAATAATAATAGAAGCACTTATCAAATAGGGTTATGAGTATTCTGGGAAATAATCATGTAAAATGCCTACCTCAGCACCTGATACACAGAAAGTACTCAATGAATGTTAGCTGCTATTGCTGTTATTATGCTTATGTTCCAGATGCTAAACTAGATACTGTATATGCATTATCTCTGAGTAGCACAAATGTAAATCCTTATAAGATTTGTAATTTCTGTTCTATGACAAGAAAACTTTGAAGTAATTTGTGAACACATCTACACTAACCCCATAAAGTAGAGAGGGGCAGCTTTAGGAGTGGAAAGCAGGCACACCTGAAAGCTTCAATGAGACGCTCCACTTTCTGGGCCTCACCCTGAACTCGAATATGAGATTGGAACTTCCGGAGAGCATCATCCAAATCCATGGAGGAGAAGTCCATCTCGTCTACTACGCAACTGAGGAGTAAAGAAGTCAACGTAACACTTTCAATTCCTCTGCAGAAAACTCTAGCCCACCCTGACCTGAGGACAAACCAACCCCAAACCACTGCCATCATGTTGATTCTCACTCATTGAAAACCTATAGAACAGAGTATAACCGCCCATAGGATTTTCAACGCTGTAAATATTAATGGGAGCAGATTGCTTCAACTTCCTCCTGTGAAGAAGAGACTGGTGGGTTCAAACTGTAGACCTTTTGGTTAGCAGCTAAATGCTTAATCACCTTCACAGTAGGGAAAAGAATCTTTGAAATGCAAACTATCCCAGAATATCCAGAAAGGACACATTGTTGGAAAAGGTCCTTCTCATAAACACACTCATGGCAGATGGGAAAAATAAGGCCCTAAGCAGATCTCAGGACACAGGTGTCTTGTACAATGCCACACTGAAGAGTTTATAGGGGCAAAAGACATTAGATCTATTCCTTCAGGAGCAGAAAGGACTCTTCATCATGTTTTAAAAGTCTATCTGAGCAAAAGGGACAAGCTGCCCCTTCCTCCCTCCTTTTCCTTGAATCCCTGGCCTGGTCTACCCATCCTAAAGTCCTCACTCCAATACGTCTCTGTTGAACTGCTTCTGCCGGTTCCCTAGAAATTCTCCTATCATCTGCCGACTCAGGCCTTTCCGCTCCAAGATGAAGTGAGCCACACCCACTGGTGTGTCTGACAGGAAGCCTCGTTCAATGAGATACTGGATACCCTTCTCTGGCTTCCTGCGGAAGGAAAGAGGAGAGAGTTAGATGAGATAACTGTTCTCCTGGAGCTGCATCTTCTGTCCCATTTCTTGAACTACTTTTGGGCCTAATCATGGGAATACAATTTTCTCTGATTCCTTCATAGTACAGAAAGAAAAACTAAGGCCAAAAAAGAGGAGGCCAATCGCTCATTTCACAGAGCTTCAAAATGCCAAAGTATATTCAACTTAACTTCTTCCTTCACTGAAGTCATACCACAACTAAAAGAAAAAGTAATATTTTGTGAAAGCCAACTCTATGTCAAGAGCTTTGATATTCACAGCAGGCCTGAGAAAATGCCTGAATTCCAAAGTAAGCTCTTCTCTTCAAGTCACTGAATCTCAGTTTAGGGAATAAACGAAGTGATTATTTTGAGTGATGTTCTATGTTACCCAATGTTTGCATAGACAAGGTGTTCCTTGCTTTTCAGAAATCTGGGTCTATCAGGTGTTCAACCACAAGCAACTCATTACCCTCAAATCTAAACCGACTCATAGCTGACCCTCCAGGAGGTTTTAGGAGATTATAAATAGTGTGGGAGGAGATTGTCTATCTTTTTCCCTTAGAGTAGCTGATTAATTGATTTGAACCGCTTGCCCTTGAGTTGGCAACACAACTTCCTACTCACTAGGCCATCAGAGCTCCTTTTTTTTTTTAAAAAAAATCCATAACCTCAAAACTCTACAATGTTAGACACTTTGGTACTGTAAGAGTCTCAGATTCAATCAAAAATCTCTGTAAATGTTCATGAAAATTATTAAAATAAAATTTTAAAAAAAAGGAGTCTCAGATTTCCCCAAAAAAGAGTCTAAGATCCATCATTTAACAGTTGCATAATCCTGGGCAATCCCTTTTACTTCCCCAAGCCTCATTTTTCTTATCTACAAAATAGGACAATTACAACTCACCTTGCCAAGTTATTATAAGAATTAAATATGTGTGATAATACTTGATAGGCTATTAAAATGTAAGATTTGTATTCTATTTATTTTCCAATTAAATGCCATTCTTGCACCAGATTTCTACACTCCTGACATAAAATCAGGCTCTTAGAAAGACCTTATTGTTGTTGTGTGCCATTGAGTCAGAACCGACTCATAGTTGACCCTCCAGTGGGTTTTTAGAGATAGTTATTCACACAGGAGGAGACGGCCCATCCTTCTCTCACAGAGCAGCTCTTAGATTCAAACTGTATGCCTTTGGATTGCAGCACAGCTTCTTACCACTAGACCACCAGCACTCCCTTGACTTTAGTCATAGTCATTGCCTAGTCTATCACTCCACTCACCTCCTAAAACTTCAAATATGTATATCTAGCTATTTCCAATTTTATATTTATTTATTTTTTAAATGAAGCCTAGAGGAGCAACACATCTCATGGTTATACAGTTATTCTGGACAAATTAAAGCAAGAGATTCACGTTTTCTGTTCCCAGACTTTGACTTTTTCTACCTATAGTGTTTCTTCATTAATAAAAGGATGCCAGGCAAAATTTGAAAACCATTTTAAAAAGTGTGAACTGGGTGTAACTAAGACAATGGAAATATCTTGCCAAAGGTCACCCCGCCAGTCAGTGGCAATATTAGGATAGAACCCAGGTGTTCTGGGGATATTTCTACTCTGCAACATTTTTTCCCCACCCCTCCTTTGAACAGTTAGAGAGAAACACCATTCCACAAATCGAAAGAATGACAGAGCAAGGATCATTGTTTAGAGTTCAAGGAGTCAAAGTGTCTGTGGCAGGGTAGGAAATAGTGAGGAGGCTAGAATGGAGATCACATACTTATTGAAGAGATTGAGGCCAATTCTGTAGTGCCGCCTCTGTACTACATCATTGTTGAAGGCTGGTGAGTCCCAACTGTGCCTTGTCTCCCGCTGGTAAGTCTGCTTGCAGAGGCCAGTGGCTGGAGGCTCCCGTAGGCTGTCTCGAGAAGAGGAGCCAGAGCTACAGTTGATGGTTTCATTGGAATTGCTGGAGCTTTCAAGGCTCTCATTATCTCCACCATCAGAGTTCTCACCTGCAGCCTCACATTTCCCCAACCTCCTACCCCCAGGTACACCACTGGGTCCAGTACCACTGTTAGGGGCTGGTGGCAGGGACCCTGGAGGGGCTGGGGTTTGGACTTCAGGAGCTGGATAGTGTCGGTGTGGGATTGAGGCCCTGCCTGGTGGCCCTTTGTGCTTCAGGGTCCCATGGGGGCTGCAGCCATCAGCCTCATACACTAGCTGACGATGGACAGAGCCACGATCTGAGCGGTCACTCAGGTCCACAGAACTGTCACTAGGAGGCTCAATGGTGAGCAGAGGAAGATGGGCAGCCCGCAGTCGGAAGTCTCGGCATTCTAAGCACCCAGGACCCCTGCGAGTGCCTTCCTCACGACTACCATCTTCCCGGGTTCCTGGTGGAACTGGTGGAGGAACTGGTGGGAGAGGGGTTGGTGCCCAGAACTCAGGCCGACTCTGGGTTGGGGGTTCTGTGCTGGGCAATCGTTCAGGGGATGGTGGGGGTACTGGGTCATCCAGGTAGAGAGGAAGGTCACTGAAGGACGTGGCAGAGCTGTCTTGCTGTTCCTTTGATTCCCGCTTCTCTAATTGAGTTGACCCAGGCTCCTCAGTGTGGCAGTTCAGCGCTTCATCAATAGATTCAGCCAGAGACTTTACCTATGGGAGAGAACAGAGAGAGAAAGAAAAAATGAAAGGAAGTATGATGGAAAGGTGTGAATGAAAGAAGGAGAGGAGAAAGGAGGAGAGATTTTCATGGAAAATTAGCCAAGGATTCCCTTCTCTACTCTTACAGGTTCCCTAATAATTATAACATAACTCCTAGGGAGCCATTGTGAGCTCACAGGAGCTAGGACTAATGTTCACAAATTCCCTTCTCAGATAAAATCTTCAGGTCCATGTCCATGTGGACTCAAGTCAAATGCTACCTGCTCTCTCAGCATCTGTCATCCCTAATGGTAAACCAAAATTTCAAGCTCTCTGGTTCATTTTTGGGAAATCTATACTACTTATCCTTGAGAATATGGATTATATCTAATAACTCTGCATCTCTGTGTGATATCTAGTCTCTAAGATGGCTATTAATGGGCCCTACCTCCTGATTTTCACTTCCTTGTGTGCTACATTTTACCACATGATCTGTGTTGTCTACACCCTATAGCAGAATAGATATGTATCACTTCTGTGATTAGGTTATAAAAGACAGCAGATTTTGTCTTGAGTGCTATCACTTGCTTATGCTCTCTCTCAGACCACATGTTCACAAAAGATGGGAGAAGGCTATGCGGTGAGAAACTGTTGCTTCTTGCCAATAGCCACATGAGTGAGCTTGGAAGCAGACCAAGGGACACAGTCAAGTCCTCAGAGATTACAGTCCCAGCCTACAACTTGATTGTAATCTCATGAGACACCCTATGCCAGAACTACTAGCCAAGTCACTTCTAGGTTCCTGGTCCTTGGAAACTATATGAAAAATAAATTTTTGTGATTTAAGTTCCATTTCAAACTGTTAAATTTTTAAATAATTTCTTAGCAAATTGTGATGAGGATCCCTGAACACTTACTTGTGCTCATGCAAAACCTATATTTGGAACAGGAAGCAATAGTCCAAACAGAGCAGGGAAACACTGCACGTTGTGTGTCAGGGATGTATCCTATCTCCATACCTTTTCATTCTCTATGAAGAACAGATCCTCTGGGAGGCTGGACTTTATGGGGAGGAATGTGGCATCAGGATTGGAGGAAAATTTATCAACAACTTGTGTTATGCAGATGGCACAACCTTGCTTGCTGAAATTGAGGAGGACCTGAGGGGCTTGCTGCAGAAGGTCAAGGACTATACTCTTAAGTATGGATTGAAGTTCAACATCAGGAAAACAAAGATTCTCACCATTTGGCCAATTGTCAGCATCATGATGGACAGAGAAGAGATTGAGATTGTTGATAACTTCAGCTTGCTTGGTTCCACAATCAACACTCTTGGAACCAACAGTCAGGAAATAAAAAGATGGACTTTATTGTGAAAGTCTTCTGTCAGGGACCTCTCTAGAGTCCTGAAGATCAATGATGTTAGTCTGGAGACTAAGATGAGCCTGTGGATCAGCCATGGTCTTTTCAGTTACTTGCTATGCATCCTAGAGCTGGACAATAACTAAGGATGATAGAAGAAGAATCAATGCCATTGTGTTGGTGAACATACTGTGGATTGCCAGGAAAACAAAGAGCCTTGCCCTGAAAACCAGGCTGCTCGCTGGAGGAAAGGATTTTGAGGCTATGTCTCACATACTTGGGCACGTGGCCAGGAGGTACCAGTCTTTGGAGAGGGACATCATGCTTGGAAGGGTGGAGGGACAGTGCAGGAGAGGAAGACCCAAAATGAGATGGATTGACTCAGTGACTGGAGAAATGACACTAGGTCTGTTGGAGATGATGAGATTGGCTCAGGATAGGGCAGGTTTCAGAGCTAATGTACATAGGTTCCCAATGAGTCGCAGGTGACTTGATGGCACATAACAATAGCAACCACCATCAGACTTGGATAGCACTTAGACTTGGAAACAGATTTGTTGCTCTATCCCCCTATTTCCCTTCTTAAAGTATTGGATTTCTCTCTTTTAGCTTAACTAAACACATTACCGGGCACAGAACAGATGCTCAATTAAATGATTATTATATGAATTAACGGATGAATGATTTTCCTATCAATGTGTGTTTCAGTGAAGTATGCCCTGATTGGAGGCTGGGCCAGATAAAAAGTTAAGAGTACAATATTTGATCCTCTTATAAAGCATCATTAATTTAACAATTTCTATTTTGTACCTCCTTGGTTTAGGAAGGGTATGACAATATATTTAGAAGCTACTATGTGCTAAAATATATATATATTTGTTTTTATGTGTCATCAAGTCACCTGCAACTCATAGCGGCTCTATGTACAACAGCTCTGAGCCCTGCTCTATCCTGAGCTAACCTTACTGTCTTTGACACACCTCCCTCCATTACCCCAGTCACTGAATGTCCCTCCCCTCCCAAGCATAATGTCCCTCTCCAAAGACTGGACCCTCCTTGCAACATGCCCAAAGTAGGTCAGATGGAGCTTCAGAATCCTTGCCTCCAAGGAGCAGCCTCGTTTCACTCTCTCCAGCCTGTTTGTTCTCTTAGCAGTCCATGGCATATTCAAAACTCTTCTCCAGCACCATAACTCAAAGGCATCAATTCTTCTGTCATCCCTAGTCCTTGTCCAGATTTCTGATGTATAGCACATAAGTGGGAAGACCATGACCTAGATCAGGCTCACCTTAGTCTCCAGACTGACATCATTGCTCTTCAGTACTCTGGAGAGGTCCCTGACAGCAGACTTTCCCAATGCAATTCATCTTTTGATTTCTTGGCTGCTGGTACCAAAAGTGTTGGTTGTGGAGCCAGGAAACTAAAGCTCTTAACAATCTCATTATCTTCACCATCTATCATGATGCTGTTAATCGGCCCAGTGGTGAGAATCATTGTTTTACTGATGTTGAGCTTCAATCCATATTGAAGGCTACAGTTCTTGACTTTCTGCAGCAAGTGCTTCGGGTCCTCCTCAGTTTCAGCAAGTAGGGTTGTATCATCTGCATAATACAGGTTGTTGGTGAGGCTTCCTCCAATCCTGATGCCTCAATACCTTCCCCCTCATAGAGATCAGCCTCCCAGATGATCTGTTCTGCATATAGATTGAAAATTATGGAGATAGGACACATTCCTGGTGTACACCCTTCCCGATTTTAAACCATGCAATGTTTCCTTGCTCCGTTTTGACGACTGCCTCCTGGTCCAAGTATAGGTTTTGCATAAGCACAATCAAATGTTTTGTGATTCCCATTCTTCTCAGAGTTAGCCACAGTTTGTTGTGATCCAGTCAATTGTCTTTGCATAGTCAATGAAACAAAGATAGACATTCCTCCAATACTCTCTACTTTCAGCCAAGATCCATCTAATATTAGCTATAATATCTTTAGTGTCACAATCTCTTCTAAACCCAGCCTGCACATCTGGTAGTTATCTGTTGATGTGTTGTTTCAGCTGTTTTGGATAATTTTCAGCAGAATCTTCCTTATATGTGGTATTAATAATATTGTTTGAAAAAAAATATTGTTTGCTAATTTCCGCACTCTGTTGGGTCATCTTTCTTTGGGATTAGAACAGGTACGGATCTCTTCCAGTCAGTTGGCCAGGCAGTTGTCCTCCAGATTGGCACTAAATATTCAAGACCCTTCTAAATAGAAGGTTTCTTTCCATTTTACTGACGGTTTCAGTGTGGTAGAACAGTTTGCTTAAGTTTATAAAACTGAAAAATAGTAGAACTTGGATTCAAATCTGGACAGATATGCCTGAAACCTCAATTCTACAATGACCTCCACTACCAGCACTGTTTGTTACATTCTCATGTTTCTTTGCTTTTGCTGATGCAGTGCCTATGTGAGCAATACTCTGTCAGTTATCATTAACTTGGTAAATCTTATCTAATAAGACCCAGCTCCAATGCTGTTTTCCCAAAGAAATCTTCTTGGGTTCTCCCAGCATAAAATTTCACCTCCCTTTTCTGAGTTCCCACAGTATTACACGTGATCTTCTCTCAGGGCTACCTCGGGAGATGACAATGTACTTCTATCAGGAAATGTAACTATCAGAGGAAGTGGCCTAGTGGCAAGAAACTGTGCTGCAATCCTGAAGGTTTGAGCCCACCAGCTGCTCCACAGAAAGATGGGAAGTCTTCTGCTTAGTGATTAACTGCTTCTGAAAACCCACTAGAGGGTCAGCTATGGGTTAGACTCTCTGGTACGCAACAACATGTTCTACTTCAGGAGATAGTAATGTGTACATGTTTGCCATTTCTTACTAGACTGAGAAATTCTTGGGAATGGAGCTAGCTCATCTGTTCACCTCACAGTGTCCACCACAGAGCCTGGTACATGGTATTATGGTGTAATAAAAAGAGCACAGGTTGTAATGGAATCAGGCAGAGTTGGGTTCTAATCCAGTATGGAAAACTTACTTGACTTTTCAGAGCTTTGGTCTCCTCCTCTATAAAACAGGGATAACAATTCCTGTCTTATAGGTTAGGTCTGTTATAGGGCATGCAAAGCACCTGGCACGTCCTAGGAACTATGAACCTATTCAGTCATTGCTACAGAGTTTAATCTGATTGACAGCTGATCCTCCAGTGAGTTTCTGAATTTGTAAATAACAAGAGGGGAGAATTACCTATCTCCCACACCTCTTGTGGATTCAAACTGACAGAGAGATGAGGCCTCTGGATTAGCAGAACAGGTCTCCTACATATTACACTAGCAGAGCTCCCTCACTACCTGTTAGTTAACCATTAATTTGATAGTGGATCAAGTTCCAAATGGTGAGAACTTTTATTATTTTTTCTGTATGCCTTTATATGATAGTTTTAGCTACAATATTATCTTATCATTTTTTCTAATTTTCACAGTCTCCATTCAAATTGTAACTATTTGTCTTTTGTTAATTGCTTATCACACAACTTTTGTCAATTTGGAGTGTAAGTAAGGGTATAGGGAAGAAAGGCTCATTTCCTGGATTCTGACCTGTTTGGAGAAGGAGTCCTCTAGCTCTGTGATATCATTAGAAAACTCTCCAGATGTGGTGACAGAGCTTGCACCACCATCAATGCCCCCACCGCAGGAGCCTCCATATGAGAGACCACGTTCAAGCCGGTGGCTGCGGGCACCAGCCATGGCACCCTCGTCCAGCGAGGCAGGCTTGCCCTCGAAATATGCGGGGTTCTGAGCCTTCTCATACTCTTCAAAGGAGAACTGCATTCGCATGTTAGAAAGGATGATGCGGCGAGACATGCGGCTCTCAGAAGCTGAGCTGCGTAATCGCTCAAAATTCTTGTTCATGCGGTACTGGCGAAAGGCTGTTTGGATGGTCCTGGCAGCCCTGCGGCTCAAGAAGGAGCCTCCATACTTCCTTTCCAGCATTTCCACCTGTGGGGGGAGGATCAAGGGAAATAAGGTCAGAAATGCACTATAGCTTCATTTCCTTGAATCCTCAAGCACACCTCCTGCTAACCTCTAACAGTTGCCTTAATTGATCTGCTCTCATAGTGCAATATTCTACTTTAATCAGCACTTGTCACATGATATGGGATAATGTTTTCCTTTTTTTAAAAAAAACTTTATAAGATGAATGTTGTTGCTGTGTACCGTAGAGTTGGAACCAACCCATAGCTGACCCTCCAGTGGGTTTTCAGAGGCAGTCAATAGCTCGGGAGGAGATTGCCCATCCTTCTCCCGCGGAGCAGCTGGTGGCCTCGAACCATGTGTATTTGGGATTGCAGCGCAGCTTCTAGTCACTAGGCCACCAGAGCTCACATTATTAAAAAAGAAATTAAAAAGAAAGGGGGGAAATTTGGAGTAAAAGGAAGAAATAGAGAGGGGGAAGAAAGACAGAAGCAAGGGAAGAAGAAGAAGAAGAAGAAGAAGAAGAAGAAGAAGAAGAAGAAGAAGAAGAAGCAGAAGCAGCGAGAGAGCGCCACAAATAGTATTTTGTTACATATCCTTGTTTTGTTTTTCCTATTATGTGATCCTTTTGTTACTTCTTTTAAAAAAACACAATAAACAACCAAATACCCCATTGTTATGAAATTGTTAGTTTTTGCGTGTGTTTCCTCCCTACTAGACTGTACTTTTTTTTTTTAACCACAGAGCATAAGTATCATCTTTTTATCTCTAGTGTTGGCAATAAATGTTCATTGAGTGAATATGAAATTCAGTGGATGTGTGGTTCAAGTAGTAAGTTCTCAATAGGATGAAGGGATTCTGGAGTCAGTCTTTCCCAATTCCATTCTCACTAACCCTCCCTGGATAACAGCCTCAAATGCCACTTCCCAATCCCTCCCTTGGCTCTCTGTTGCATCCCTACCACAATCCCAGCCAGAGAGCCATCTCTTCAGCACCTTCTTGTCCTGCAGGTCTGTAGAGAGTTCATAGTTGTCCGATAGTGCCTTGGAGCGCTTTATCTCCTCCTCCTCTTGCTTTCTCAGTGCAACACTGGCTGGCTGGAGGCGTGCCCGCTGAGCCCAGGGAAGGCCCACCCCAACAGGGGTACCACCCATGTGGCTGCTGGTGGAAGGCAGCTGGCTCAGTCGGTAGGAGGGTTGACTCCCAGGACTATCAACAGCTGTGCTCAGGTCGCTGCCTGGGGCGTCACCCTCCACACTGTGGAGATGAGATAAGATGAGCTAGGATATAATAGGAACAGCAGAGGGGCCTGCTAGGCTAGGCTAAGAGTGAGTGGGCAATATCCTTCACCTCAGCTTCATCCACCCCAACTTCCTAACAGATATGGGGATCTCCATACTTAAAAGCCAGAGAAGAGCCTATTGTTGTTATGTGTCATGGACTCATAGCTAACCCTCCAGCGGGTTTTCATAGGTAATAAATCACAAGACAAAAGATTGCCCATCTTTCTCTTGTGGAGCAGCTGGTCAATTTAAAATGTTTACCTTTGGGTTTATAGTGCAACTTCTTACCACTAAGTCATCAGAGCTCCCTAGAGAAGAGCCTAGCCCCTCAAATTGTCTCCTTAATACTCTCTCAATTCCTTCCTTTCACTTCCCCTTGCCTTCATGGCCCAATTCTCATTCTCTTTCAGTCCTTATCCTTACAGGTCCATTTTCAGACCCCTTGTCCCCACCTCACAAACTTTCCTTTCCCCCTAACAGCTACATCCTTTCAGACTTTTCTCTCAAGTTTCTGTCTTTTCACAGTCTTTTCCCCAGTCCTGATCAGCCCTCACAGTGTTATCCCCAGGCCAGTTTCCTTCCAATCTCTAGACCTCTTTATCACCCCCCCCCCCGCGCCCCAGTAATTGTCTTTTAAAGGATCTATCCTCAAACCTTCTTTTCCTTGGAAGACTAGTTCCCTTATAACCTCATCCCCAGAACCCCTTTCATCCCAGTTCCATCCCTTCAGGGTTCTGGAAGAGGTTTTGCTGTGGTGTCCCTCCTAAAGCATTCCCCACCACCCCAATCCTGTCCCCGAAGCCCATCCTGGCATCCCACCCATCCAGACTCTCCAATCCTCCCCTGCCCACCCTCCTCTGCATCTCCTCTTCTGTCCTCAGCTGCCTGGATTCCTGGCCTGGCCAGTTTCCAGGATTCCCTGGCTGTGGGGCTACTGGCTCAGTGACAGAAAAAGGTGCCTCCCATGCAGCAATCTCACAGATAAAGAGCTGCCCTGCGGGGCAGTTTCCTTTTCCTCCTCATGACCTCCTATGTTCAGTTGAAGAAGAAGGGCAAGGGTCTCATTGCCCGAGAGCAGCAGGAACTGGGTACCACATCTTTCCCACCAACCCAGAGCTGTTGTTGTACTGGAACCTGCTCCCATGGTGTCATGGCAACAAGGCTGCCAAGGAACCCAGGTGGCAACAGGGCCCAAGTGCCTTGAGCTAAGCCAGACATGGTAAGGAGCAAAAGAGGCAGAGAAAATGGGGCCACCCCAACCTTCAGGAGAAGAGAAACAAACAGGCATGGAAGGGTCTGTGGGAGAAAAGGATATGGCTGAGCTGAGTGATAGGTAATACCGAGGCCTCAGATAAACCATACATAGTGTGGTTTGGGAGGCATAAAATTGCAGGAGCTCTTAGCCTGTGAGAATGTTAATGAGCCACTCCAGCCCTACTGAGTCTGAAGTGCAGAGTAGGGGCAAACTGGGATGGGTATGGGGAGGATCACTACCCGCTCAGGAACTTGAACTGTAGCAGGCTGCCAGTCTTGCAGAAGAGCACGACAGGCATCACATAATGGCTATGAGGTAGGTGATCTGGAGGAGTGTGGAGGCTGCACTCACAAGGCTGCTTGACTCTACTCTGGTGGCAGCTCCTACTCACTGCTTATCGTCCACCCCCCTTCCAACTGTTAATAATCCGTAGCACTATCAGGGGCAAGGCAGAAACAGATTGGGGCACTGACTTCTGCCTCAAATGCTTTCTCCTCTTGGACTTCAAGGACGTCACCCTCCTCGGGATAGACCCCGCCTAGCCTATCCCAAGAATCTAAGATACTCCTCTTCTTCCCCTTAGTACTGCAGAAGCCCACTCACAAGTCTCTAAAACCTTTCCCCTCCCAGCACACATCCCAAGCCATATATGTTGTTGTTCTTATGTACCATTGAATTGAAATCGATGTATAGCTGTCCCTCCAGCAGGCTGTAAACCACATGGAGGAGATTGTTCGTCGTTCTCCCATGGAGCTACTGGTGGATTTGAACCACTTGCCTTTGAGTTGGCGGCACAGCTAACACACTATCAGGCCACTATATATATGTATTCCATATATTCCATTCATTAAATACTCATAGCTGACACTGCTCATAGAGATTGTCTAAGTTCCATATTCTGGCGAATGAAGCATCTATGAAACATAATAGGGAGCTCTAATGGTCTAGTGGGTAAGGAGTTTCACTGTCAAAACATAGGCAAGTGGTTTGAATCGTCCAGCTATTCCAAAGGCGAAAGATGGGCAATCTCTTTCTGTACTATATATGTTGTTGTTGTTATGTGTCGCCGAGTCACTTGCGACTCATAGCGACCCTATGTACAACAGCCCTAAACTCTGCTCTGTCCTGTGCCAATCGCACCATCTCTGATACACCCATCCCGATTACCCCAGTCACTGAATCAATCCACCTCATAGAGGGCCTTCCCCTCCTGAGCTGTCCCTCCACCGTACCAAGCATGATATCCCTCTCCAAGGACAGGTCCCTCCTTACAACATGTCCAAAGTATGTTAGACGGAGCCTCAGAATCCTTGCCTCCAAGGAGCCGCCAGGTTTAACGTTTAACCCTTTCCAGGATGAATACTATCTATCTATCTATCTATCTATCTATCTATCTATCTATCTATCTATCTATCTAGATCTCCTCTGAAAACCCACTGGAGGGTCAGCTATGGTTATGACTTGATGGCAATGAGTTAAATTGAGTTGAATGCTTGTAGTGCATTTGTTACATTCATGTACCATTTTATCATTTCATATTCAAGAACTAGTTTACTTCTCAACCAGCTCTCTAAGGTAATTCATCTCAACTCACTTCCATTGAGTCTGAACTCATTGCTGACCCTGCCAGCTAGTTTTAAAGAGGCTGTAGATTACATGGGAGGAGATTGCCCGTCTTTCTCCCTCTGAGAAACTTGTGGATTTGAACCAGCTGCCATTGTGTGGACATCACAACTCCTTACCCACTAGACCACTAGACCTCTAGGTTTTATGGGATAAGTATTATTAGTTATCTTCATTTTACACTAAGGAAACTGTGGCTCAGAGAGGTTAAGGAACACATCTATGGTCACCCAGCTATTAATAATAGAGCCAAGATTCAAATCCAGGTTGTCTGAGTTCAGAGCCAACAATCTTAAACACTAAACTACTACAGGGTGGGATGCCATCTCAGCTTTTGTTTCTTTCAAAAACTCTGTCTTCTACTTGCCTCTAAAACTTTATTCATTTCCCCATGAAATGTCCACCTTTTCTGACACCTGCTATCTGAGAAACTCCTCTATGTCCTCATTCAGGTTCAGTTCATATGCTACCATTAAGTAGCCCTCCTAAATTCCATCTTTAACCAGAAACTATTGCTCTCACATATAGCATTATGTCACTCCTTATTTTGATAGTTAGCTTTAGCAAATTGTGGCAGTTATTTGTGTTCATGATTCCCAGGACAGGAAGAGAATAATGGTAATCTCCTAGATAGCACAGAGTTTGGCACAGAATAGGTGTCAATAAAAGTTTCTGGAGTAAATGAGCTCTGGCAGATGCTCTAATACTCTCACCTGAACTTTTATTTACCACAAATTCCAATTTCCCCTTTCTGTTCCATGCTGTAGTCAGAGATAACTTCTACAAAGTGCAAATCTGTTCATTTCACTCTCCCACTTACAACTTTTCATAGGTTCCCATCAATCATTTGAAAAAATATTGAGTACTTCCTACATGGCAGGCACAGGACTATTATTAGTTGCTTGCTATTGAGTTTCTCTTGATTTGCGGAGTCCCCATACACAAGATCACAACTGTGATCCTTAGAGTTTTCACTGGTTTTTTTTTATTTTTTTTTTTCCTTGTTGTGTAACATTGAATTGGCTCCAACTGGTACAGGAGGCGATAGCTCCTCCTTCTCCAGCGGAGCATCTGGTGGATTCTAACCATGTGCCTTCGGCATTGCAGCACAGCTTCCTGCCACTAGGCCACCAGCGCTCCCATTGACTGATTTTTGGAAGTAGATAGCCAGGTCTTTTTTCCTCATCTATCTTCATCTTCTGAAAACTCCACTAAAACTTATTTGGCATCATAGCAACATACACACTTTTACTGACAAATAGACGGTGCCTAAACTTGAGGTACATTGGCTGGGAATTGAACACAGGTATCCTGCAAGGAAAGTAAGAACGAAATGAAAGTAGAACTATCACTGTTCTATGGCATAGTGTTGAGTGCTGGAAATAAAACAGTAAGCAAGATGCACAAATTTGTTTTCTTATGGAGGTGACATTCTAATGGGGGAAACAGGCAATAAATGAATTAATGTTGTTAGGTGCTGTTGAGTCGAGTATTATTCATAGCAACCCAATGAACAGCCAAACTTAAACTTGACTATTCTGTGCCATTTCTTCTTCTCTGAGACTCTGAGACCCATTGCTGAAGTCATGGGGTCAATCCATTTTGTTGGAGGTCTTCCTCTCCTTCATTGACCATCTATCTTTCCAAGCATGATGTCCCTTTCTAAGGAATAGCCTTGCCCAGCTACATGTCAAAATTATGAAAGATGAAACTTCATCATCCTTGCCTCCAAGGAGCACTGTGGTTTCACCTTTTCCAGGACATATGTTTGTTCTTTTTTTAAAAATTTCCCCCCCCCTTTTTATTATTATTTTGTGTGTGTGTGTCTGTGTACCATCAGATCAGATATGACTGGTACAGGAGGAGATTGTTCCTCCTTTCCTGGCAGAGCATCTGGCGGATTCAAACCATGCGCCTCTGGGATTGCAGTGTAGCTTCTTGCCACTAGGCCACCAGAGCTCCCCAGTGCTTGTTCTTTTGGCAATCCATGGGATATTTAGTATTCTTCTCGAGCACCCCAACTCAAAGGCATCAATTTTTCTATCATCTTTGTTCATTGTCCACTTCTCTGACGCATAGCAGGTGACTGAGAAAAT